CTTTTACAGACGAAAAAATCCGTCTGTAATGTGGCACCTGAAAGGTCGGCTAAAACCGCCATATTTACAGACGGTAAAATCCGTCTGTAATTTCTCGCCATAATATTTCATTCTATTTTCAAATTATAGACAGAAAAATCCGTTTGTAATTGCTGTCTATAACGTTTGGCGCCAAAAGGCGGGATAAATACAGACGGATTTTACAGACGGGATAAAATCCGTCTGTATTACAGACAGATTTTTTAGAAAAAAAAAAATTAATTCACAAATCCGTCTGTAATACAGATGGATTTTACTTTATAGTAGTGAGTAATTTGTTTTTAAGCATATTTAATTATGAGAAAGAGAACTGATAATGAGGGTGGAGTCATGGAGACGATAGCAAGAGGAATAATGGAAGGAGTATATGAACATAAAAGAATGTATGTCACAAAATATTTTAAAAAATAGAGCGTTAAAAAACAATCTCAATAAACAAGATAAAAAGCAGAGCCAACGAAGGAAATAAAAGATGAAAAGCAAATGATGTGGCAAAAGTAGCATCGATCGAATGGCTTTTGCAATTTTGGAAAAACGTGCATGACATCACCGAATCTTTAAAGTGCCTTTTTTGTGTCATTTTTTATTTTTTTATTTTATATAAAATTTTAGTTTTGATCCTTTTATTTTATAAAGCAGGTGTATTTTTATTTAAAGTTTAATTCCGTTCCTTCTATTGAAATATCGGTCTATATATTTTATTCATTTCAATGTTAGTTTTTGTTAGTTTCTATTAGAATATTAGTTTTATTTTGTCTAAATTATTCATTCTTAATGCTTTCATGTATAAAAAACCAGTTCCTAGACATTGTATATAAAATCAATAAATAATTATTTCAACATTTAATATTTAATCAAAAAAACAATCATAACAAAAAATATTTTTTTATTGGTATTTAAATATCATACAACAATTAATTAATCTAGATCAAGTAAGACTATTTTAAGCGCTAAAAATGCTTTTTCAAAAACTCAATAACAACCAAAACGTAAATGAATGTCAATTGTATAAATCAAAATTTTATTTATTTATTTTTCCTGCAAGTCACACAAAATCCAACACTCAGATTTCTACAAGTACTTTTGAGTTATTTTAATTTAACATAAAATGATCTGGAAGCGAAATATGTTTGAATTAAACCAATACCATTTTAGCACATAAAATTATTCATAAGGAAAATATTTTCTTTCATTTTAATATGCCAAACAAATTGACATACATGATGGGAAAGTCAAGGTTGCCACAAGAATGAAACCTTCTTAAAAAAATATTAATGAAATCTATATGTGAATTCCACTGATATTACATAATCCAATCGAGTGCATGCATTCTAAACTTTAAAGGGTTGTAAACAGTAATTCCGTTTATAGGCATAATCCGGCGATAAAGCAATGAACCAGAAAAGTTTACCATCATTAGGTGAAAAAAGAAGAAGCTGAGTTCAGATTAGCATTGTCGAAGCTTTTGACTTGGGTACGTTCGTTTAATCTCAGCTTCGTGCATGGCTGGAACATATCGTGATAAGATAAAGATTGTGACATTATGGCTGTGAGAAACGTCAGAGACTGATAGCAAGTAGTACATGAATATGGATTTATATATTATTATTCTTCGTGAGTTGGTAAAACACTAAAATATGAGAGAAAAAAGGCATAGCTTATTTGGCAGTGACATGGGCACTTTAACGTACAGCAATAAGCTTTTGGTATATAGTAGTTTTCTTGAAAAATTAAATGCCTAGGAGAACAAGTTATGGATGATCCTGTGTTGTTGGAATTAGAACAGAACATTGTTGTCAACTACTTGGATAAAATTGAGGATGATGTGGGGCTAATCCATTCACCCTTTAGCAAAAGTTGTGGGCTACCAAAACTTGCTTCGGCGACCAAGTTGATGTGGCAAATCCCTGCACCTTTTCATTGAGCCCATTAATTCACATGCTAAAAGCCCATCAATGGAAATCTTAGGAGCTTTTGGAAAGTTGATGATCTGCCTATTATACCTAATGATCTTATCCATTTATAAACACTGTCAAATTTTGATTAAACCTCTTGAAACTGCATATGTACTGTCAAACGTGGAAAGTGTTTGTTTGACAAGGTGTAGTTTAAATCACCAAACAAATACAAAGACAGAACAAGACTTTCCACAATGTCAGCAAAAACGAACCTAGCTATGAAAATTAAGGCGCATTAGATGCTAAATTTTCTTATGGCTAGATTTAGTTATCCTAAATTAAAGTGTCGCTGTATCACGATTCTGTAATACCGTTTCATTGAATTGCTATTATACTATAAATAGTAGGTAAATTAATGTGTGAAGTGTTATGCAGTGGCCAACCCTTTTTCATACTATGCCATAATCTTCTTATTTTAACTAAAACGAGTATTTTAAAAGAATTTACTTAGAAATTTATTTATTTTTTTGGATTTTAGTTATTATTTTTAAAAAATAGCACTTCTAATTCCTGATATAATTTTTTTTCTAATTATATGACAATCTCTTAATTAATCTAAAAAAATTGTATTTTTGCCTTATGTGTACTTGATTTCAAGCTAAAAAATTTAAAGTTTTGGAAGTGTTTTTCTTTAAGTAAATATACCTAAAAGAAGTAGATTTTATAAAAGATAATTTTATTCAAATAAAAAATATTTATAATATCGAAGATGTTGTTTTTAAGTAAGATTTTTTTATACATTGTTTCAAACTTAAAATGATTTTAAAAAGAATAAACATATACTACTTGAAGAACTTATAACGATGATACTTTAGCTGCTGATAATAAGTGCAATAAAATTACTGAGTAAAAGTATTTAATACATCAATAATATTTACATTTAATTTTAAAATAAATAACATTTGTATCCTTACAATATAAACATTTTTATTAATTAAATATGTTAAGAAATATGAAACAATTAAAATATTCTCGAATCCCAAATATGAAGACATTAAGAACGTACAACATTTTTATTCACACTTAAAAATAATATTTTAATCATCCTCGTGTGATATCTCCCAACAAATTAAAGCCTCGACATGTTTTCAAAGAAACAGGAGAGATAGGATAACAAGATATCGTAGGTTCTTAAAAGGACAGTATTTGAACAGAAGGACGCAAAATGGAGACGTAGATGCTGACAATGAAGGAACGCTTTCTTGTAAGAGGCCAGCAAAGGTCCACTGGTCGCCATTCTCATCATTCATATACAAATCCCTTTCTTTTTTTACAGCAAATAATCATATACAACTTTGAATTCATAGGAAACGCGCAAATTGGGGGAAGGAATATCTTATCTCCTCAATTATACACCTATCCATTGAAATTCATTATTGGATTCTATTATTCTTTTCTTTATGCCAAATTAATTACTTCAATTAAATCTAATCCGTGTATTACGATAAAAGCATAATCACAATTGTTATAGTTTTGGAATATCAATTCACATATGCCCAAGAAATTTTTAAGTTATGGATCACAATTGTTTAAATTAAATTAATTATTTTCAAAGTTTTTTTAACCTATAGTTTTAGAATATCATTTCACACAAGCCCAATAAATATAACATAACTCTAATTAAACGTGTATGATAACATTTTTGCCATGTTTAATTCATTTCCTACTTCCAAACAGAAGAGAATTGGCTGCATATATCTGTTTGTCGTAAAATCCACCAATTAGTGCATAAGATTGATGGAATATAGAATTGAATGGTTTAGAAGCGATTAATTGTAATTGACTTTTTCTTAGCGCACAAAAGTGCTTGGTACTAGCTTAACTTTTAATCAGCGTAAAAGCTTGAAAGTGCATTTTATCATGATAACAATCCAACTTTCTGGAAAATTGCATACTTACATAATGAAGTTAATCAACCCATACACAAGATAATTACTTTTTCTTTTTCACTTTGCAAGTTGCATTTGGAAATTTGTGACCAGAAGGTAATAAAATAATAAACAAACATGGCAGCTGATGCAAGAAAGTTCAGTAGATGAGTGTAACGGGGAGGAGGAATCGCAAAAGTAAACTATAGACATGTACCCCGAGGTTCAATTGCGTACAAGCTTTTAACGACTCTGGAACCTTATTAGCAAATTGCAAACCTTACATAAATATAATAGCCTAAAAGCCTGGTGACATGTTTCTTTCTTTCTCTTTCTTAATTCCCCTTGATAACAAAGAGATAATTTATGTTATAATTCAATGTTTTAGTAATTTGACCGAAATTGAATTGTGCTCAATTCAATAATTCTTAAATATATTATTAATATAATATATTATAAGTAATAAATTAACATAAAATTATAAAATGAAATGACCACTGTCCAATTGCAAACATAGCTATCGAAGAGATTTTCAACCTTGACGAAAAGAAAATCTCATTCAATAAAAACGAAATCGTATCCAAGAAAAAATGTCCTGGCGTAGAGACCAAAAGACGGGATAAAAACCGTCCTTGAGCCACTTGTTAATGTTATAAAAATTACGTTCGAACGAACATTACATCAAGAACGTCATGTGTCAGTGTGTCACTCCTTGTCATTTGCATTATTTTTTCCTTATCAATCATGTAATTGTGAAGTAATAATTTTTGTACATTATTTGTATACTATTTTCTTTTTAAATAGTAAAACTAAAAATATCTTATTTTAATTCACAGTTTCTTCATTTTAAATAAACAAACTTTATCATAGAAAATACTTTGTTTTTTTATTTTAGTTTTAAATATAAAAATCTCACTATATTATATATGAACAAATCATATAACCATTAAACAATTTTTTTTAAAAAAAAGAGAAGCAGAACTCAACTGGCAGTTAACTGAAGCCGAACGAAAATAAATAAATATTTGAAAATATATAGTCTACATCTGAAATGAAATAACAATTGAAAAAGGAGGTCAAACGCAGACGCATGGAGTTGGTACCATAAGGATGCAGTTGCAAAAAACAACATATCGAGCGAATAAAAATTGAACTTGTTATTCACTTGAGTAATGTTGATGTTAATATTTACAACTGGGGCAAATTGACGATGATATTAATAAAAAATATAATAATATTATTATTCCCAAAATGCCCTCTTGTCTTTGTCTCTTGAGATAGAGGACAACACTGAATGGCGTAAGGCTTGTAAGTTGTAAGGTGGAAGCTAACAAGTGGTAGCGGTGTAATTTTGTCCGTGCATCTCTAATAGTAAGTGGCGGATGCAGACACGAGACATCATCCCCAAATAATTCAAGTTGAGAAGTGCCCATCTTTGCAGAGCTGCTAATTCAATTTTGCTCAACATCAACTTGCCAACCTGATTCCACGTGATGCAAGTTGAGCCATTCGCATCGTCATTCACTCTATATTACATACTCATATTAGAAAGATATATAGTCACAGTCCACACCAAATTCACCACCCATGTACCACATTGGCGTTTCAGGGACACCTAATTCAGTTGCCGTAAACTCCAAAACGACACCAGAATAGAAACAACGGCCACCGCCATAACGTTGTTAGCTTTCATGTCCACGTTACTAACTCCAGAAGTCTCCACCGCCATTGGGTATTTCCCGTTCCCCGACTTAATCGAACTGCGTTCAAATTCAATAACCCCAAATCAGAAAATTGCAAAATATCTAGCTACCCTACAAGATATTATACACGGGATGTGTTGTTCATGCTCTGGACGGTGCAATCAAATCAAAACACGCCATTTCAAAATTTAAAAAAAAAAAAAAACGTGACAACCATGTATGTGAATATCATGATACCGCACCCATAACTGGTCCTAATTGACACACATTTCCTTATTCTAAAAAAATCATATGATAGTTCAACAACAATATTCCCGTGTCCTAAAACACGTTTTATTAATTTAATAAATATTTTTGGAAAATTAAAATAAATTCAAATATTGAAAAAGTGGGGAATAAAATAAATAAAATTAATTACCTGGGGGATGGTGAGGGACAGAAAGTGATGGTGTAATCAGCAGAGGCACAGGTGAAGGTGCTGGAGCCATCGTCATAAGCGTAGCTGTAAGCGCGTGGGCACGCGCTCTTGAAGAACTGCGAGTAGGAACTTGGTTTGCATGTGTCAGGCGTCGCGTAAGCGCCACTGCAGCAATACTGCGGATCCCCGAAAGCTTCGCACGCGCTTTTGCATGCCACGCCGTCGCCGCCACCCATCACCTTGAGCTCCGTCGGGCATGCCGCGTTCAAGTCCACCACGCAACCCGTCGTTGTGCAGTTCCCGGCGCCGGTTCCGCCCTGAGGCTCTACAATCATGGGGAGGTTGTATCCGTCGACGAGGCTCACGTCAAAGAAATCCATCCCGCCGGCGCCGTTAAGGGTGAATTCAGCAAGTGTGGCCGGCGGAGCCGCGTTTCCGCCGGCGCATTCTACGGTGGAGGAACCACAGTCGCCGGTGACACAGGAGAAATTTCCGGTGGCGTCTTGGGAGCAGTGGGTCCTCCCCCAGAGTCGGCCGGACCAAGCGGGTGGCATTTGGATGACGTTGGACTCGCCGGGTTGAAGGACGAAGCCGGTGGTGGAGAGCGGCGAGGTCCCGGCGCCGGATAAAATGCCGGGCCAAACTGTGTAGCTGCACTTGTTAACAATTGTGAATGTCGTTGAATACGAACCTGTTCAATGTTAAAAACAACATATGACGGTTAATAAGAAGTGATGTTAACATTGTATTCACAAAAATAAAAATGATATGTTAGTATGGTGATGGTGGTCACCTGCTAGGAATTGGAACAAATATAACGTGACCAAAATGGTGGGAAATTGAGTTGAAGAAGCCATGGTTGAAAATTGGGAAATGAATAAGGAAAAAAATGGAAATGAGAATTGGAATAATTTGGTTCCCCTTGTTGGATGGTATTTGAAAAAAGTGTAAGATGCGGGTTGAGAGGGAAGTGACTATATATAGAGAGATTTTATTTTATTTTATTTTAAAAAAGAAGAATAAATATAGAGAATTTTAAGGCGGGCCCATGTGCAATTGGGATCACAGCCCATAGAACAGAGAGTGCGGGTGAGGGCCCATCTGATGACTTGAGCAGTGCACATGCATGCATAAACCATCAAGAGATATAAAGAAATATAATATAAATGATTACATAATTTGATGATAGGAATATGATTTCTGAACCGTGAATGTGGAGGTCGGCAGAGTGTCTGATGATTTGTTAATGAAGAATCTGCATAGGCCCTAGATTGAAGGAACTTAAATATAAAATGACAAAAATAATGGTGGTGGAGATGCAGGGTTTTTGAAGGAATCAAGAACAGTGGTGACAGGACCCCAGCCATGGAAGCAAGCTTTGAATTGGAGCTGAGAAAGGACGGCTACGAATTTACATACAGGGAATTATATAAATAATGAGGAAAGGACCTTAGATACTCGTGCACTTCAAGCCACTGTCCTTTTAAGTTACGTACGATATTAGGAACTGAGGTTGTTTCAGGTCAAGCGATATCAGTATAAGACATGGACGGTCAAATATATCGCACAAGTACTAATTCCCATGTGATTTTTGTTCCTCTTTGTGACTCTTCCTGCTTCACACTGACCATCCACCATATGATCCATCACATGCCCTCTCCCCTCATTTTTAATAATTTATTCTTTCTCTATTGGTACAGAATAATTGATTCCTTGTTTCTTGTGACACCATAGTTATTGGTTAAAAAGCTTAGATTATAATTTTATGGAGAATACTGTTTGCAATCTAAAGGCGACACTTTTACCAATAAATATTTAAAAACCAAAAATCAATCTAGTTTAACATCTAAGCATCATTTTGGAATAAGTGATACTATAGACAAAGTGTCTTCTTTTTTTGTCATTCAGCCTTGTCTATCTGCATTGGAGTTACATGAGAAAGTGGCCCAAAAGAGAAAGAACGGGTCGACAGAAGCAGCACTATAGTCCAGCCCACACTGCCAAATAGCCAGAAACTCATCATTGGAGCGTGGGATTAAGTTCGATCAAGACCCCGGTTCATTTAAAACGATACAGGGTACGCTAGGTGCAGTAAAGGCCAAAAACAAGTATAAATAAAGCTCGTTTGCAAAATCCTGAAAGATGAAATGCTTCTGATGTGTTATTGTATATTTATTGTGTAATGTTGTAATGCTCTTGATATATTTGACAAAAAGAAGAAGAAAAATCATTTAATTGTTGAATAATCGCAAACTTGTACGACGCCAAAAACAATTTAATTTGGGGTTGTTTTCAAATTTGTGTCCCAACCAAAGCCAAAAAGAAGACGATGAATCACGCATTCGTGTTGAGACCCAATTTTTTTTAAAAAATAACATTTTAGGTTACCAGAGATGCAAGAAACCAAGTTGATTTTTATGTGCATACAAATGTGGGGGCAACAATCATGAATTAAAGTCGTTATTTCACAGTTCAATGTCCTGTGGATTGACGAAAGGTCAAAACTTTGAACAGAACAATATTACGGCCCTTGCAGTATCTTGGGGGTGTGGGAAAGTGAGGAATTATCTGAAGAGACGCAATATCTGAGTATTGGTCAGATAGATAACATAAAAAATAAAAATAAAGTCTTCTATTTGATTATTTTGATAATTTGCTTCACTTCATACACAAAATGCCGCAAAAGTTGACAAGAATTCAATCTACTTACACATTTCTAGTAGTATAATTTTTATCATTTAACTATAATCAATCTCGGTTCGTTTTTAGTATACTTGTATTCTGAATTTATCATATGAGATATGTATTTCATAGCCATGAGCTAGGATGTTCTTCCATTTGGAATTGTGAGGGATCGGAGGCAAGAAGACTACAGTAAGCTCGTCATTGAATCTTGTTCACACAAAGCTGCATCCTTAATGAAGAAGCAACCATCATCTGATCATTTATTATAAGTAATTCAATAATATATTATTAAAAAAATATATCCAATATGAATCACCTTCTTACTTATCTTCAAACATTTATAATCTTACATGAATTGAGTAATGACTGTAATTGATAAGTGAGTGGACATATTAAGAAATTAAACTCATGACATGGCATTGCTATTAGTTATATCCTATTAACTATTAACATCGCATAACAAAATTAAATCGTTTCACATACCCGTGATTTATTTGACCTGACCATTTGATATAACATAATTAATTATTTTTTTAAGGATGGAAACTATATTTAAGATTGTATTTTAATAAGTAAAATTAAGTCTTCATCCATTTTTTTTGGATTCAAAATTTATATGTATTTTTTATTGAAATAATTGCTAACGTATGACAAATTATGGGAAAAAAAAGTAATCTGAATGATGAATTTGCTGGAATGCAGAGAGATTTTGTAATATAAGTTTAAGGTTTCAAAGAGGGAAAATTTTGATTCTGGTTTTTCTTAAGTGAAGTCTCATACAGTCATACTCTGTTTATTGATGTTGAGAGTAGAAAACTAAGATATTATATGAAGGTTTCATTCTCATTAAATGAAATTATTAAGGGCCAAAATTCCACATTGAAGCTTGTTCTTCCATCTATATTGCATGATCCTCAAATTTATTTCCTGTACGGCTGTTGCAGTGAAACTTGTTCATAAGCAAATAGATATTCTTCTGCACAAGGTGAGACTTCGTTATGTGTATTAGTGAACAGAAATTAATTAGTAGACTTCGACATTCCATTGTTCTGCTTTCTTCAATTGTCTCTTGTACTCACCCCAATCAATACCTACAGTGCATAACGAAACACAGCATGATGAATAAAATAAAGTTACTCTTATTCTCTGCTGTAACCAAAGGAAAATGTTTCTTACCGTCTTTTGCAGCCAACGACACCATTATGTCATCGATACCCTTTTCCATCCCTTTCAGTCCACACATATAAACATAAGTATTATCTTTCTTTAGCAATTCCCATAGCTCTTCTGCATATTGAGCCATTCGGGTTTGGATGTACATTTTCTCTCCTTTTTCGTTTGTTTGCTCTCTACTCACAGCAAAGTCAAGCCTGAAGTTGTTAGGTGCTTTCTCCTTCATCTTTTCAAATTCCTGTTCCACATCGTTTGAGTTGTATCATCATGTGTCCCAGAAAGATTTATCAGCCTTCTCATTGTAGACACCATACATTAGATGTTCCTCAGTAAAAACAAAAGTTTAATTCATCTTACCTCTTTATAAAGTAATGAGCTGCTTGTTGGGACACCCAAGAAGAGCCATGCCAAACCATTGAACTACACATATCATATATGCCAAAATTCAGTTAAATAATCAAATTTGGTCACGTACATGTACATTTAACATTTCTGATAATACTTCAGTTCTTATGTTATTTTGCCTATTGTTATGTATAACTACAACTATTAATACTTGACTCTTGGTAAGTTTTGGCGATTATGCTTACCTTGTAATCATCGTGCTTCTCGAAAAACATTTTCCATAAAAAGGAGCGAAATGGGGCAATTCCAGTACCAGTTGCCAACTGTGGGGAAAATTTTAACGATCAAAGCAAAAATTATGACCACATAAAGGTCTCAGAATATATTTTTTCAGTTAAGATGAAGACACGATTAGGTAATATACCATGATGACGGTGGCATTAGGATCTTTTGGCATAAGCATTTCTTTACCAACAGGTCCAGTAATCTTTACTTCCGATCCTGGCTTCAAGTCGCCTGAATAGAGAGGGATAGAGTAATTGGTACTAATAATGGATATCGTTTGAACTCCAAAAAAAAAAAAAAGACAAACCCAAAACACATTTTCTTGATAGTTGGTTTTTTCATTTAATAAAACAATTCAACTTTCTGTATTATATATTAATAAAACTTTAAACAACGCACAACAAAAATGTCGCAGAAGTTTTTATATTATATTATAGGGTGATACTTTAGGAGTACGTATTGTCAAATTTCTTCGGATAATATAAAAATTAGCCGAGACTAGCTTTTAACATATAATACACTTTGATACAAATAAATGCCAACTTTAAAATGATATGTTTATTTAATTTGTCCAATTACCAAGAAAATATCACATAGTAAAAGTTAAATTTATTAAACTCCTATTTTATAAAAAAAATTTAATAAAATCATCTAAGACTAGCTTTCAAAATAAATAGATGTACATTCTAAATTTATAATAGATATACCATATAAAAATTAAAACCATTCATCCTTACACAAGAAATTTGAGCAGACTCCCTTGACAAGTTCTCCGTTTTCATTTGTGTACACAAGACGTTTCACGCATAGAGAAACCTATAAGAAGGCATTATGTCAGATGGCAATTAAGTTGCAAGTCCTAGGTAAATTAGATATAAATTGAACAAGTTTACATGTGGATTCTAATCTCAAATTCATTTGGATGGAAAAGAATTTGAAACGGGGTTCAACATCAACTACAAATGGCACAGCCTCAATAAAAACACTATGAAAGTTCAATATTTAATCCCAATTGCCATCATCAATGATAAAAGATATATCATGATCAATTAGTTCTTCAAATTAAGACTCACTGTTTTGGAGTCTCCAAAATCACCAACGGCACTGCTAGCAATTGAATACAATCTTAGCTTGTGAGGCTTGCCATTCTTGTCCACCCCATCTGGAATCACCCCAATTGATTGCCCTTCTTTGTAAGGAAGCTCTCCTGAAATAATATAAATAGATTTTATTACTATTATTATTATTATTATTATTATTAATTAAATAAAAACAATGAACTTTTAACACAACCCATGCATTGAGTAGTGAACGAAAAAGTAAAATTGAGGGAAATTAAACGCATGAGCACACACCCTCAGTGCTGAAGACCATGTGCCAAGTTTCTCCAGGTGCATCATCCCCAGTGATCTTAGTGTTTAGAAGACATCTACCAATGTATGGGTTCTTGGGTTTGAACTTGTTCACGATCACACCTTCCTCTTGTTTCTTCGATTCCTTTTCAACCTTAGTAGGTGCCTCTGTTGTCACTTGGGCTCTGATCCAAACTCCTTTTCCACTAATAAAAACATCTTTGTATTGCAATGAAGCCTGAGAAAGAAACAACCCAGATCATACTCCATCAAACAATTACATTGCATTGCTAAAATTGCAATCTTAATTGCTTCAATTTCAATACATGTACCCTCTTGAAGACAATTCTATGAGGGGTGGTGATAGAGATCTTGCTTGGAAGAGGGGTGGAATTGGAGGATGGAAAGGAGACTGCAGCAGTTATAGCAGCAGCCATGTTTGTAAAAACTAAGGGAGAAAGAGCAGAATGAAGTGATCAAATTGTATGCAGTGAAGTATGAAATGAAAGAGGGTAGGAACGTAGAATAGCTTTTTTTGGTCGAACACAAGATTTTTAGGTTGGGTGGATGAGATTTGTTAAGCCAATTCAGTTTTACATGTGAGGATAAGTTTATTTGTAATGTATCACACCCAACCCTGTAATGACCCTTCTAGCCTTGGGGTCTCTAGAATGGTCACTAGCATCATTAACCAAGACCATGCCAAAACTTTAGTGAAATATTATAGATGTTTTTGAATTATGTTTTAATTAAAATAATTTTATTTTGATAGTTATAAATAAAAATCTAGGTCAAATATAAGTACTGATTATTGAGGTAAATTTCTTTTAAAATAATATCATAAATAGTTATATTATTTAGAGAATGTTAAGGAGTAATGTTTAATAGATTAAAAATATAAACTTTTATGCAAAAATATGACTGACACTTTTTATTGTAATTTTAAATAAAATATTATTAATTTTTTAAAACTATATTTTAAAGACAAATTTTAGCAAAATACATAACACTAAAATAGAGAGCCCGTGCATTACAAAGATGAGACGAACATGATATTGGGTTACAGTGAACGGTCAAGGGAGAATTTATCTAGTCAGGAAATAAAATTAAAAGAAAATGAAACTAACATTATTTTTTACAAGCAATCATATTTTTACATCCAATAAAAAATTGTGAAGTAAATAGAATAAATAAATAATGTAATAAAAAAGTTAGTATAAAAATATAATCATTAAATCTCTTATTGCTACAAATTAACTGATCAACTTATTTTATTTTAAGAGTTACGGCAGAAACTAATATGAGTTAGTAAATAGTATAAAAGTTTGTGAGTCTTTTTAAATTATTAAATATATTTTAAACAAAATAAATAGTTTAAATCTTTATATGTGACTTAATAATATCATAAAAATTTATAAAATTTCAACCTTCAAAACTTATTTTTTATATATATTTTTTCATACAATTGTATTGATATTTTTTTTAAAATAAATCTTATATGTATTTTGTATCTAAATAGTAATTTTAAAATTATTTATATTTAAATATACTAATATAATTTTAATTTATAATAAAAATAATTTTTAAATTAATAGAAATGTCATCTTAGATCTGTAAGATTTTTTACAAATTATAAGTATAAATTTATGATTTTTAAAATTAAAATTTTTACATCCACTCTTACATCTTAATTCATTATAAAAATAAGATTTTATATTAATCGATTATTCATTGTCATTTTCTATTTTTCACATGTCTTCTCTATATATTAGTTGTATTTGCATCACATAATTTCTGCAAATTTTATTGTGCATATATTTCTAAGATAAGCAAAAACTATAAAAAAAAAAAATAGCTTGTGGAATTAATATTACTTAAGTAGTTGTTACTTCAGTTAAGCCACACAAAAAAGTTTTAATATTCGTTTAAGCGAATAAAGTTTGGTTTATTCAAATACTGGGTATCATATTTTTTATTTAAGTCAAGTTATTATAACTTAAGCGAAATTGACCCAACTTAAACTAAAAATAATAGCTTAAGCAAATGTTAACAAAATTTATATATTCATCATTGTATAAAATTAACTTAAGTAAATATGGTATAGTTTAAGTAAAAATTACAAAAATAATCATGCATTTAGCTTGTTGAATTAATATTACTTAAGTAGTTGTTATTTTGCTTAAGCCACACAAAAAGTTCTAATATTCGTTTAAGCGAATAAAGTTCGGCTTATTCAAATATTGGGTATCATATTTTTTATTTAAGTCAAGTTATTATAACTTAAGCAAAATTGACTCAACTTAAGCTAAAAATAACAGCTTAAGCAAATATTAACAAAATTTGTATATTCATCATTGCATAAAATTAGCTTAAGTAAATATGATATAGTTTAAGTAAAAATTACAAAAATGATCATGCATTTTTTAACATTTAACTACATCTATTTAGTCATTATCTTTATTTAGATATAGTCAAGTTATTCATTTTTAAGACAATCAAAATGAATATATGATGTTTACAAATTTAATTAGTTTTATTTATAAAGATCACAATTCAAAATAATGATAATACAAAGAGAGTATGACTGTTTAGATGGTTAAATTTGAAAAACATGTTTGCATGTTATTTAGATAAGAAAAATAAGAAAAAATTGAATAAAAGTTTATAATAATAATATTTCAAACAGAAATTACTTATTCCATTTAATCTTTTATCTTAAATATTTCTTTCAAACTTTTATCACTTAAATTTTAACTACAATATTAAATTTATTGAACTAGTTATTATAAATAAAAAGAAAATATTTGAACTAACTTCAGAAATAAAAAATTAAAAAAAAAGTGATTTAAAAATAATAAGATTGATTTTTATGTAAATAAAAAAAATTACTTTCTTAACTGTTATAATTATGTTTTTAGAAAGTATTTTTTTAAAAAACATATTTTTAAATGACTTATTTTAAATATCTAATAATTAAAAATCTTTAACTTTTAAAATTTATTAAATTTAAATTATAAATATTATAACTTTTAAAATTTATTATATCAAATAATTTTACTAACTTATTTATAAATTATACTAATTCACGTTAGCTGTGAGTTATTGTTAGTTATATCATATTTACCATAAATTTTATTTTTTTTAGTTGTATAATTATTTATACAAAGGAATTGTATAAATATATAATTTTTTTTTTTGCATATTTATAAAAGTCTTTCTTTTTAAGGTCAATTATTCTAGAGTTCAAGGTGTGTACAGGGTAAAAAACAACAAACCCATGGATATGATGGGTTTCTTTTGGGCCTAAGCAATTAATTCGTGCTAGTTGGGTCAAATTTGACAGTGATCCCGTGGTGTGCTCTTCGGGCTTACGAAGAAAATAGGTCAGAAGCTTTGAGCAAAACTTAGAAATTTGATTAGTAAAAGTAGCCTATGTGAAGCCCATCAAGGGAACGGTGAATATGATCATTACAAGGTCAACAGTTTGATTTTTTTAGGGGAAATAAATTTAATTTTAAAAGTATTATTAGTATAAATTTTTAATATAAAACAATTAAAATATATAATAAATATAAATTTTAAATTAATTATTATAATATATAATTGTTCTCATTTATACTACAATTTATAATTAAATAATACTATAAACGTGTTTATCCTTGTTACAGTGTTACGCTTTGTTTGAATAAGTTGAATTTGAAGAGAAAGGTTATAAGTGGATATAAAATATATTGATTGTAAAATATTTCATCGTTTGGCATTGTTGTCACTTGGAAGGAAGGATTAAGTTAGTGTGAGACCCACAAATTTTACTCACTTAATTGAGTTGTTTTTTGTTTCGTAGATGTTACCAGATTTTAAACTTCTATTTTCAGATTATGATGAGTTTGTTATGTAATGAGTATTATGTATTCGCCTATTTATTAGTACAATTTTTTTTTTAACAACAGAGAAACACTTTGTCTTTTTATAAATAGTTTCAGAAATGTGAACCAGTGAGATTTGAGTAAAAAACATGAGACAATCTTCATCAATTCTCTTTCTTTCTTAGTTATCATACCAATGATTATTGATTCAAATTTTGTGCCAATTGTCATTCTTCACTTTGTTGGTAATATAACCATTGGAGCATGCTTATGAAAAACTTTTTACAGTCAAAAGAATATTCGACAGTTGTTGAATTTGAAATTCAAGAGTCACTAATAGCTACTGCTTATGAGGCAAGAAAACTTAAAAGACTTGAAAGTCAAAACTTATCTTTTACAGGCTATTGATCGTCCAATCTTAGAGACTATTCTTTGCAAAGATATTTTCAAGGATATTTGAAATTTATTGAAGAAAAAATGTCAAGAGTTCTACTAGAGTGAAGCATGCATAACTTCAAACCTTGAAGAGAGATTTTGAAGTTTTACAAATGAAGGATTGAGAATCTGTTAGTAGCTTTTTTGGGACGAGGACGGTAGAGATTGCTGACAAAATAAGATGTCATGGAAAAAATGTGTAGTTGCACTTGTTGGCAATTTCGAAGATGGCAGAGGACAAACATAAGAATTGAAAGAAGACGATGACCAGAATGGTAGCAGCAAACACTGTTGATGAATCAGCATGTTTAGAAGGTTAGAAGGAAAGAGCTCAGAGCTGATCCTAGTTGTAAGGAAAGAGAGAAGAAATTATATAGATAGGCGCCATAGAGTCCTTGTTATAAGGTAATTTTAACTTGAATAGATCCAACATCCATGAGCCATGTTCACACTAGCTTTTACTTGGATCTGCATTTGTTAGGACAAATCTCGTAACTACATTTGTCCCTTTTATATTTGTCAAGTAACTATGATTTATCCAAACATGTTTTATCTGCATCTAACTCTTGTAAACGCACGTTTGGGACTGGTCAAAGCTGTTCCATCACCAGCCAAGTGACGTAGAATTTGAAGACTTACCTGCCTTTATTATTGTATATCCTGGTTGTTTACGTGATAAGATGGAGACAGTGTCTAGGGAGAGAAACTTATGCGTCTCAGCTATAGTATAATTCACAGAGTAATATTATTTATTCCATGTAACATATATCAGATGTTATACTAACCATAAACAAATTTGGAGTGTGATATAGAAAAATACAAAAGCAGGAAACAAAACATAGTTTTTAAACAGTGGTAGGTTGTGGGCTGGGGGCGTTTGTTTCAGGCGTAGTTCCTGCCATGACCTCCATGTTCCAATCCCTTTCCGATACATTAACCGTAATTTTGCATGCTATAAGTCCACAAATGAAAGCAAGAATCGCCAGCACGGTTACGAGGTTGTTGGTCGAACCGTGCACTTCACCTCCCGAGCTGTTCATCCCCGCTGGGTATTTCTCGTTTTTCGCCTTTGTCCAACTGCATTCAGATTCAAACACCCTCACATTTTTTTAAGAGAAGTCAACAGCAACACTCCTATTGAAAGTGCAGCTGAAAGTATAATTAATGCATGTATCCAAACCATGCAGTATGTGTTGTTGTGTATATATATTTTATTATATTAAAAAAAAAGAATAAAGAAGGTATCAAAAAGATTACCTAGTGGAGGGCGTAGAAGTGGGACAAAAAGTGAGGAGATAATCAGCAGAGGCACAAGTGAAGTTACTTATGCCATTATCATAAGGGTAGACATAAGCACCTGGGCATGCTCTCTTGAAGAACTGCAAATAGGAGTTGGCCTTGCACGTCTTACTGCAGCAGCACGCGCTTTTGCACGCCACGCCCTCGCCGTCTCTTATCACCTTCAGCTTCGCCGGACATGCACCGTTCAAGTCCACCGCGCAACTCGTCGCCCTGCAGTTACCTATTCCGGTTCCCCCCTTAGGTTCCACCCTCATCGGTATGTTGAAGCCTTCCACGAGACTCACGTCGAAGAGATCGAGGCCCCCGGTGCCGTTCAATGTGAACACCGCCAGAGTCACCGGCGGGTTGGCGTTGCGGCCGGCGCATTCCAAGCTGAAGGAACCGCAGTTGCCGGTTACACATGAGAACTTCCCGGTGGAGTCTTGGGAGCAGAGGGTCCTCCCCCATACATGGCCTGACCAGGCAGAAGGCACGGTGACAGTTTTTGACTCGCCCGGTTGGAGGGCGAAGCCGGTGATGGAAACCGGCAAGTTGCCGGTGCCGGAAAAAATGCCTGGCCAAACTGTGTAGTTGCACTTGTTGGCGATTTTGAACATCGTAGATGACAAACCTGTACCACAAGTTCAAAACAAAGATATTAACGACTAAATCTTCATGTGAGTGAACAGTTCTGGAAAAAAAATGTTTTAGTACCTGTTAGGAATTGAAAGAAAACCATGGTGACCAAAATGGTAGCAAAGTGAGTTGAATCAGCCATGTTTGAAACTTGGAATAGCAAATTGGTGAGAGACAGTTCGCTTGAACTTGGAACGGTGAATAGGTGATGGCGGGTATATATAGTGTGCGATTGCGATGGAAAGAGCGAAGAAATTACATAAAAATGAAAGAGCAGTGCTTATTATTATACTCTTAAAATTAAAAGAATATTATATATTCTATTTATATAAAGAATGTAAGTTTTTTAATTACAGCTCGATTTCGACACACGGAATCTCCCACCAGCTCATTCAATTTTTTTGTTCTAAATCTAATTTAATTCCGTGAGAGAAAGAGAGAGAGAGAGAGAGAAAAGAAGGGAGGCTTTCAATTACAGCTCGATTTCCACACACGGAATCTCCTGTGTGTGTGTGTGTGTGAGAGAGAGAGAGAGAGAGAGCTAGTGTCACAAGTGTGTATACAAATACATGTAAGAGTTAAGAGTTTGATTGACCGTACATGTAAGATGATGGATTGGTGTTTGTGCAGTGAGACTGCTCAAAAGAAAAAGGGTACTAATTCGATTAATTAATTAATTAATCATAGAGAGAACAGATATTAACACCAAAAGTGGACTAGAAGAAGAGAAGCAGAGAACCTTTTTTGTGTTACTCCATTTCCGTACTATTTGGATTCTGTTAATTTCTTTAAAGTTTTTATTGCAATTATGTACTAGTGCTTATTCTTGGTCCTTCTCATCTTTCTTTTTTCATCACTCTACTTTCTGCCTAACCACTCTTGCTACAACAAAGTAGAAGTGGCAACTCATTTTCGGACACAAACATCAATATCCATTTCTGTATTAAAATTAATCCGAGGTTTGGGTCAATATGGGACTGTTGGTGGCAAAGTTGGATCAAAGTGATAAAATTTTATGGGTATTGGAAATGTATTGTTTGGACATTTCAGCAATGTATGGAGTAGGTTTGATGATGGTGTAAGTTGAGCCTTTATATTAATGAGGCTGCCACCCCCCTTAAACTAATTCATCCATGGATTCAAAATGTAAGCTGATTTTGGTCTTCAACTCTAATGGTCCCCATATCATAAATTTCTCTTTTTTTCTTCACTAACTTTTTATTTATTTATTCTGTTTTTTCAATTGTTGAAGCTCGTTTGAAGAATACACAATGCATGGATTCTCACCTTTAGTTGATTTTGCTTTTGAAGAATGGGAGTAATAAATATTACTACTTTGAAGTGTATTTTCATTCTATAATATGAATCAATTGTTTTAAAAGTTCAAATTATCATGTAAAATAAGCATACCATAGATTTAGTTAGATTTCTATTTTGAATAAATGTTATGGTGGTATTCTAGGATAGTAAATGTTTTTATTTTTCTCAGTGGTTCTATCACTCTTAATTTCAGGGAAAGTCAATGCATGATAATGCAGGATACTAACGTCTCCTTGCATGCAAGGAAAACCTTGTATGAGAATTTTGGTTCTATTTGTTGTTCTTCTAATTAAATAGTAATAATTTACAAAAAATTAAGCATTAAAAAATTATTGTCAATATATTTTTTCCACTAAATTATCATTGTTCATTTAAAAAAAAAAGACCGAAAAAGAGTATAACAAATTTCTATTTATAAAAAGATCCTATTAATAAAAAAATTGAGAAAAAATTAAGTAATTAGACACTCAAAACTAAAATATTTCATAAAACATATAAATTTTGACGACAATAAACTAATTCTGACAAGTATATATGAAAATTTTAAGCTAAATACCATAAAATTAAGGACAATTATCCCCTCAATAATAAAATAATACATAACTAAGTAATTTTGTTGTGCACTGCACTGATATTATTTAATTAAATTAAAATTTTAGATAAATAATAAAAAATATATTGTATAACTACTTTTAAATGTAATAAATTTCAAAAATATAAAATATTATAATTACTAATAATATTAAATTAAAAAAATAAATACTTAATATAGAAAAATTAAGTAACATTAAAAAAATTCATCCTTAAAAATATTTTCACTTGAAGTAATGGACTATACAATTTACTAGAGAAAAAGATATTTTTGTACAAAACTAAAGATGAGTGGTTGGTGATAATTTTAATTGAGATTACTACCAATTAGATTAGGTATTATAAATATAAAAATAGATATTTATATAAAATTTATATAAATATTTATATATATACATGAGTAATTTAAAATTTTATATAAATAATAATTTTTATTTTTAAAATTTAAAATGATATCAACAAAAAAATGTGTAAAAAATAAAATTATCGTAAAAAAAAGTGTGATTTATATATAATTTTAACATTAAAATATACACGTGTTTAATTATAAAAAAATAATTTTATCAAATATTTCACTTTGAAAATAGTTTAGTTCCATTTAAAATATAGAAGTTAATAAACTAATCCATTTTACATATTTATGTACAACAAAAATAAAGAAATTTAAAGTTAATTTTTATGTAACTGTAAAAAAAATTGGCATTAATTTAAGATAACTAACTGCAAAAATAAGAAATTTAACGTCACTTTTATATAATTGTTCGGATTGTGAAACTCTCTTTTAAAATGGAAAGGTATAAATTATTTATTTGATCCTACAACAAGATCTACAGTTTTATGTCACTGATGGAGTTATAATCTATCAAATGAATGAGATATAGGAATGATTAAAAGCAATTTTTACGTTTCAAGAAAGTCTTTTAAGTGGGGGGAAAGGAAGAATGGGAAGGAAGAGGGAGGGAGTGAGTGGGGACCACATGGTTCTTGTGTTTCTGTGGAAATTACCAACTCTGTCCTGTCGGTGTGTTTTCCTTGTTTACCGCTAAGGATTCACGGTGACGCCACGTGTGAGCTGTTCTATGTGGCACGCTAAAGCCGCTCTCTAGGTGTGGGTGGGTACCGCCATTTGCTATGCGAGATTCGGATACGCTGAACCTCCGTGCTGCTGCTAAGGGATGCTCATAGTGTGCATTGATTCTAATTCTAATCCGAATGCATTAATAATATTTCTTATGAGGTATTTTAATTACAATATAGAAATTGATAAAAATACCTAATAATCGTTAATTAATTTCCATTTTTGAAAATATTATAGTACAATAATTTTACATTTATTTAATATCATTAGATTTAATTTTACAACTAATATTTATCCTAGTTAATTTAAATTTTTACCGACTTTATTTATTAAAAACAATAATAAACGTTTTAAAATCATAAAATGTTTTAGAATAAAAACTATTGAAATTTTTTAGAAAATATTTTGTGATAAATAAAAAATATTAACTAAAAGAAATGGAAGTGTTAGAAGTCCAACTTGACCTCCGTGTCCCTACATGTCTCGGTACGAAATATAAGACAAGTAATGAAATAGACATCTGTGTTTAAGAATCTACCTTTTTGTAGCTTGTTCATTCTATTCATTATCTTTATAAGGTAAAAAAGAAAAAAATAAAAAACAAAATTTATTTATTAAATTTATTAAAAATGAAAAATAATTTAGATTGAATAGCTACTTGACTTTTATTTATTTAATTTATATATTTTATTTGGTTAATGAAATAGAAGACAGGAACTTATTTGCCGTAATGAAACAAAATACACGGTATATGAGTAAGTTTATACTTTACTTGAGGTGCTTGCTATTTGAACTATTTTTTATTGGTATTAATTTTATTTATTAAAAATAACAGTAAATATTTTAAAATCATAAAATGTTTTAGAATAAAAAATATTGAAATTTTTTAGAAAATAACTTGTAAAATTTTTTAAAAAGATATAAAAAAATTGTGATCATTTATTTAATTTTTTATAAATTTCATTTTTATAAAATAATTACTTATGTAAATGTTTTCTGTAACAATAAATTTGCAGCAATTTTGTAAAAAAAAAAAAATACTTTTTATGCAAATTTTCATAATTTTTTACAAATTAATTTTTGAAAATAAAATATAAAATTCGAGTAGTAGAAAAGTTAATTTTAATTTCTAAATCACATCTTTTATATAAAAAAATATTGGTTATCACAAACGATAAAATGTAAATAACTCAAAGTAAAATATAAATTTATTTATATAAAAATAACTAAAGTTTTAAAAATTAAATATAAATCATTTCTTTCTCTTCTCTTTCAATGTTTTATCATAAATATGGTGGAAAAAATGATGGCGAAAACTATAATATAACTTTCCAAACAAAACATAACTTTTCCCATTTTCTTAAATAATCAACTTTTTCAATGTTTTATCATAAATATGGTGGAAATAATGATGGCGAAAACTATAACATAACTTTCCAAACAAAACCCAACTTTCCCCATTTTCTGAAATAATCAACTTTTGCGGCTAGAGAACGTGAGGAGAGTGGAACTATGCTTAGAGTATTTTCTATTTTTCTTTTAAATATCAAAAATAAATTATATTAAAAACACGTGATAAATTAAAAAAATATTAATATATATAAGTTATTTAAAATTATATTATTTATTACATTATCTTATTATTATTATTATTATCATTATTATCATTATGTGAGAAACTCTTTATCTTAGGTCTCTAGAATGGTCATTATCATCATTAATCAAGATAAAAAAAAATTTAATAAAATTATATAGATGTTTTTTGAATTATATTTTAATTAAAATAATTTTATTTTGTTAGTTATAAATAAAAATCTATGTCAAATATAAGTAATATAGTATTTAAAGAATGTTTAGAATAATTTTAATATATTAAAAATATAAAATTTTATAAAAAAGTATTACCGACAATTTTTGCTGTAATTTTAAATAAAAATATTTTTTTTTAAACTATATTTTGGAGACAATTTTTAATAAAATACTTGACACTAGAATACCAAGCTAGTGCATTGCACATGAGACGACGAACATGATTTTGATTACAGTAAATGGTCAAAGGAAAATTTATTTAATGAAAAAAGAAAATTAAAAGAAAATGAAACACTGTTATTTACAAGTAATAATATTTTTACATCTAATAAAAATTTGTGAAA